CATTTGAATATTTGGTTTATGTCCGCTTGGAGTCTTGCGGTGTCTTCGATGGAGGTGCTTTGAACTTTCAGCTGTGACCTCGCATATCGGAGATTCGCTTCTCAGACTCTGCCCTTCCACCCTGTCGATTCCTCTTGAGCATTTTGTACGCCGTATTAATGTCATTTCAGCTCCTTCTGTCCTCCTGTGTCGTCAGATTTAGTTCCTAGCCCTTCATCCTAGTTCGTACCGCTCAGTTTTGGGATTGCCGTCGTTGCAAACCTCAGCATTTTTTCCAACTTATTTACATGCTTAACCAGATATGAGTTCCATACTGGCGCTACATATTCCAATGTGAATTATCTGTAAAAAAAAAAAAAACAACATTGGATATTTCGATCGCCAGGGAGACCAAGTGAGATACCTGCAGCCCCCATTAACCCTCTTTCCCAGTACACCAGCGTATCTCTGAAGATAGTTTCCCTCCCCCCCCCCCAAAAAAAAAAATATATATATAAAATAAAATAAACGTAAAGTTTAGGAAAATTGACTTAAGGAAATACCATTCTCACTTAGCACATCAGTTCTGCTTATTCATTGCTAGGTTTTTGCATAAAGGAATGAGACTACACTATCTGATTCTAGGAACTTCCACCAGAGGGCAACTCTGTTATTTATAACCAAATTTTCTTTTCGGTATTTTATATCAGTGGTTTTCAAGTTGTGGGTCTTGGACCCCTGTGATGCCGTTGAGTTATTACAAATTAAATTAAATTATTGTTTATTGTGTATCCCTCAAGGGAAGTTCCTTGACGCTGGTGAGGGGCTCTTGATCTAGGGAATTGGATCTGTGCTCCGGTTCCCTGAATTGACCCTGAATACCTTCCACCCCTCCCTACCACATGCGCTGTATAATCCTACGGGTTTAGCGCTCCCCCGTGATTATAATAATAATGTGTAAATTTGAGCAAGGCTAAGGGAAGCTGCTATATTAAGTTTGGTGAAAAATAAAGCAAAGTCCATTAAAAACTTTTTACTGCTATATTTAGTTGTTTTCCTCGGAGTGATGGAAGGGAAATATTCAATGAAGCTCAGACGAATAAGCAAACTTTATCAAACTCTGGATATATATTTCCCAAGATTAAGGAATATGCTGAAGAGTCGCCATTATCAAGCATATATTTTAAAAATTGGAGTAAGGTTAATTTTATGAATTTGTAGCCGAATGGCTTGGAACTAATTCAGGATCTTATAAACACCTTCAGAAAAATTTAATGCCATGGTCTCTTCCTTCTTCTATCTTCTCTCTGTCTCTGTCTATCTGTCTGTCTCATAAAAACCAGGGCAGCAGGAGTCAAGGTTAAGGTAGCATCTTCCCTGGCCTCACTTCCGGGAACCAAGACAATAATCTTGCTGGACGTGCTAAAGAGACGTTCACATCCTTTCCTGCTTTCTTTCATGTTTATACTTTGTGTTGGTGGTCAACCTGGCAGCAAAGTATATGAAGCCATTAAAATTTGCTGCTGCTGTTGCTGATATTTTGTTTGTCGGAATAGAAAGTTTCCTTGTACTGTGGGATTTAAATCACATTATGAGCAGCTTTGAGTTCTGTATCATTTAACCGAGACCTGCCGCTGACTTACTAAGAATATATACCAACATGAAAACTTTTTTAAACCTTTACATGAATGAAGTTGCCGAAATTCAATTGCGTATATATGGGGAAGTGAAACAGAATTCTTCTTCCGTAAGCCATGCGTGTCGTAAGAGGCGACTAAAATGCCGGGAGAAAGGGGCTAGTAACCCCTTCTCCTGTATATATATTACTAAATATACAAAATCTCAATGTACTGTTTGCAAAGACAAAATAAATAAATAAATAAATAAATAAAACTTTCGTTTTTCCTTTTGGGCCACCCTGCCTCGGTGGGATATGGCCGGTGTGTTGAAAGAAAGATATAGTCTCTCACAGTTTAAGACAAGAGAATCATAATTTACACACTATTAACCAAGTTCATGAGGCTAATTCGCGAAAAGTTTCAAAGGAATTTATAAGACCTTTGAGAGATACTGGCCAACAACCGATAAAAAATAAACTGACAGTATTAGTTACATTAGTTTCCCGCACATAACCACAGAGCCACACAGTTATACAGTGTATTCATGTTGTTACACTAAGGCGCACAGTAGTATCCTAGCTTTTTTTTTTATCCATGTCTCAAAATATGAAATCACATCAATCTCGTGACCCAAATGGTACCTACACCTAATTAGCATCCGAATAAATAGTCGCTAAGAGAAATTATGAGGTCTGACCACAAGAATGGCCGGAGGAAACATTTTTGAGATGACCAACCCCCATCCATTCCTCAAAAATCCGGGGTTTGAGAGAATTAGCAAGCTGCCACGGTAAAATGCAATAACATCGCAATGCAGCCATTTATTATTATTATTATTATTACTGCCTCTCATGGCGATCCCTCGTTACGTTTCTTCTTGCTGGTATTGAAAATTTAAGATTTTTCATTTTAGGGCTAGAGGTCACCCGGGACCCATCAAAAGACCCTGGCGACCGAAGTCCGGGGTCGCGACCCTAGGATTAGGAACTACTGAGATTTAAAGCAAAAGTTTGTTGAATTTAAGCGAACTCTGTAATATTAAATTCGTCTTGGGATAAATTTTCCCATTTTTCTTGGCAAAGAAAATACCAATCCCACGGTTTTGAAGAATCTACGAAGCGCTAATAGCCTAATTTGGAAGTGATTATCTTAAAGTGTATGTGATAATTTATGAATAATACTGAGAATAAATAAATTACTTTAATTAATGAATTCGTCATATTTTTAAGCATAAGCTGATTTGAGCCAATCGAGAGCATCGTGATAGTCACTGTTGCATAGCTCTGAATAATGATCTGGCCCTTGTGGTTTAGCGCTTCTTTTTTATTATAATAATTAAAATAATAATGCCTAATGATCATTGCTCTACTAGGCTCAGAAGAATAACCAAAAATATATTATTTTTAAAACTGATAAATAGGGCTGTACGTCTTATAACAATTAAAAACTATACACCACTGAGATAAACAATTATTAAAAAAAAAATTGAGGTTTATCTGAATAGACATTCCGAAAGTTATTGGAAAAAATAAAAAAGGCAAAATATCCTAGTGTTTGCATTTTGTCTTTTTTTCCAACCTGTCGGTATAATAGACATATTTTTACCATTATAAAGTTACCGCATAGAAACTGCAACAGTATAACAAAAGAAAAACTCGGTAAACCTCTGAGGTCTGGTACTGCCCTGCTAGTTTCATAACTGAGGTGTCTTGGGCTTGAGTTGTGCCCGTCCCCTGCGTTAACTCCTGAGTTAACCCCTGACGTATTTCCATTGAACATACACTCCTATACACCCTTCACGACCAATCAAGTAACCAATGAAGGTTAAGTAGCGGGGATGACAGTGTGGCTGCTGCTCCCTCATCCCCAGTTGCTATGGTTACCTCTCCTCGGATAAGCAAACATAACAATAGTCGCTCTAGCAACCTCATTTGAAAAAAAAAAATAAATAGCTTAACATTAATAATAATAATAATGAAAAAGAAACATTATTTAACAGAAAATTATATAAATTAATACGTATATAAATTCACAACTACTATACATTCTATAGAATGTAGTAACAAACAGACAAATTAAGTCATGAAAACATTAAAATTAAATGATCATAAACGAAGTCATCCACACACACTGTGTATGGTACACGGGCGTTCACAGTACATGGGAGTACATGGTACATGAGTGAACACAGTATATCAGTACGTGTAGGAGTGTATGACAATAGAGTACACAGTACATGAGTATGTGGGAATGCATGATACAAGGGTGCACACAGTACATCAGTACGTGTAGGTGTGTATGGTACATAAGTGCACACAGTACATAAATACGTGAGAGGGCATGGTACATGAGAATACATAGTACATCAGTACGTGGTTGCACATAATATTTGTAAAATTATTAGAGTGCATGATGGTATAGCGTAAATATTTTTTACAAAACGAAGATTCTGCTCATCATAACAGAGAAATTTAATTAAGAACATTTGAATGTATATCAGGAAAATTAAATGTATGAATAAGCAAAGGAAAAATAGAGGAAGCATTAAAAAATCAAAGAATATGAACCCAAAATCATACAAAATTTAGAAAAATTGAAGATAGCAAGCAGAAGACAGATAGCCAAGAGACGGAAAATAAAATGAGAACAGGTATGTACACAGAAGCAATCAATAAGAAGAGATATACAAATAGCGAGCAAAGGGCAAGTAGACATTACACCAAGCGGTAAGAAAGAGGGGAAAAGCAAAGTTCCCTACAATGTTTGTAAACTGATCATTACTCTGAAAACTGTTCATGATTGTAATCATGTGTTCACGATTCATTACCTTTGAAACTTGTCATGATTGTAACCAGCTCTACCTGGAGCTCATTACCTTTGCCAATTCTCATTACTGTAACCAGATCTAGTTCATTACCTTTGAAATTAGTCATGAGTGTGACCAGGTCTACCTGGAGATCATTACCTTTGTACTTGGTTACGACTGTGACCAGATCTAGTTCATTACCTTTGTAACCTGCTCAGCTATCAAAACTGAGTCCAGTCCCTGGACCAATTATGTACCTCTGTAATCTCTTGACTACCGCCCACAGGATGGGTATGGGGTGCATAATAAACATATTAAACTAACTAAGCAAAGAGAAAATTAAAAAACAAGAATGCAGGAATCCGTGAGAAAAACACTGAGCAGACGGGTAAGCAGACAGCTAAAAAAATATAACGAGAAAAGCGGTAAATTCAACGAGCAGAGGTAAACAACAGCGAGCAAAGAGGTAACCAAAACAGCGACCAAAGAGGTAAACAGAGCGAGAAAATGGGCAGAGTAAACAAATGGTTAAGTATAGAGAGAGAGAGCGAGCAAGGAAACTAAGCAGAGGAAGCAATATTCATGACACCACCAACCGTGTCTGCGGCAGCGAGGAAGAGGTCTGTAAGGAGACGAATGATAGTGACGTCTTGAAGACCGTCTTCTTGCAGGAGGTGGTCCAGGAGTGCCACGGGTGCTTGCCCACGCTCCTGCCTCTCCCGGGACGCCTTCAGCCCCTCCAGCACCAGCTGCTGACCTGGTGATGGGGAAGGAGAAAGGGAGAGCTCTGAATCGTGCAGCATGGTACACTAGACGAGATCATTACAATAAAATTAAATCTAAGAGTTTTTTCCACCCTTATATATGTTATGTAATGGTCCCAGGAATCATCACCCCCATAGTTCAGTCTCGGTACAAGTTTCCTAAATTGAAAAGTGAATCAAAGTAGCATATATGGTACCAGTCTGACACCTCAACGCAATGAAATCCTGGTGCAGAAGATATATTCTACAACTCAATTGCTAAGCAATTTATTAGCATGACCTGCTTCCAATAGTGGGCCCTGTCCATTTATGACGCCATCTCCAACTACTACACCTCACATCTGGCTGCTCTTCTGATAACCTAACAAGGTTAAAGGATTGAACAAATTAAAATTACTACTATACTTCTACTGTCTCCATCATAAAAGTCACTTCCGTCCTGTAATGAAGAAGCCAGCTGCGCCAAGCAAAACGTTTCAGCAATAAAGGTATCCAAGTGTTGCACATGTGTCTTATTCGTGGTACAGAGAACTCGAGTTTTAGGCAGTTGGAAGTAAAGGTGGAAAAAATATAAGTAGGGGGCATTAACAGAGTGTACTAATGGATATGCATACAGAGATCACTGCTTACCAGCAACAGGGCGATATGGAGGGAAAGTGTATTAAAGGGCGAGTATGAAAAGGAGATTACTACCTACCAGCACCCAGGGCACGATCAACGGCATCAGCGAAGCGATTCCAAATAGGGAGGCGAAGTGCCTTTGCCAACGCAGGTGGGAAGGTACCCATGGCACACGTCTCTTTGAAGATCCCATGTATGGCCTCGATGAACCTCTCCATCTCCTCCTTGTTCCTGCTACTGTTGGTGTTGGAGCTCTCAGAGTCCTCACTAAGAAATCCCAACCTGCTTCCAAACACCATTACGCCAAGAGCTGCCAACAAAATATATAAATGAGAAAGCTAGTATATTTAAAGTCTATGGATTGCATTTGAGCCATTAGGGACCACATTATAGACACAAACACTTCTTGGTGTAAATCTCTCTTTCATTTGATGTACAAGATTTTTCAGCTCACAAACTTGAAAAAAAAAAGCTTGTAGGCTGGGCGGAGCATCGTCATATACAATTTTCACTATCAAATAATGGGCAAGTATTTGATTAACGACTCACAATACGGATTTACATGAGGTCGTTCATGCCGAACAAATTTATCGATTTTCTTCAGCAAGGCGTTTGATGCAGTGGACCATATGAAAGACAATGATGTTGTTTACTTAAATTTTAGCAAGATTTTCTGATAGAGTCCCACATAAAAGACTGTTAAAGAAAGTGCCGATACATGGAAAGAGATGTCAAGAACTGAGGGTCACCGAATCGCTGTTTGATGGGATAATATTAATTTAGTCAGGATCTCATACAAGCTAAAACTATTAATGTTTTGATGGCTGTACTGGACTTGCAAACAACGCTGACTCCATATAGTTTTGCTGTTTGAAATAATTTTTCCCAATAACCAGTCTGGCTTCACTCCACTTCGTAAGGTGCCCATGAAAATTTCAGTGTATCAGTACAAATATAATTTTGCTGTAACAAAAGTTACTCAAGGCTCCTAGACGTTTCACCTGATAAAACCCATGTGAGCAAAGTCTAAAATAAAGGTTTTCTTGCAAATTATGTTCAATTACCACACAAAATTAGCTGTTACACAGACGGCCACAGACCAGCTTCCCCAGGAGCGAGGCCCCAGGCTGACCACAAGAAACTGAGCTCATCAACCCAGCCACCTGCCCAAAGACATGTGGGGAGGCAGAAAGAGACAGACAGAGAACAAGAGTAGGGAAAGCGGAATAATCTAGGAAAAGGGAAAAAAATAATGGAAGTGTAGAAGAAAGAAAAAGTAGCAACTAACAATTAGACTTAAGGGAAGCGTTCAACGATTTCGCTTGGAAAATATGTGATAATGTAATCAGTATATTAGTTCAACATTCCTGCACACATGGAAAAATGCAATTCGGAAAATGTAAACGACAGCTTATAAATTTGTAATGTGGCCTGGTAGGCAAAGCTCTCGCTTCACACGCTGAGGGTCCGTGGTTCGATTTCCCGGCAAGAATGGAAACATTGGGTATGTTTCCTTACACTTGCTGTCCCTGTTCACCCATCAGTAAAATGGGTACCTGGGTGTTAGTCGACTGGTGTGGGTCGCATCCTGAGACAAAACTGACCTAATTTGCACGAAATGCTCTGCATAACAAATGGGTTTCTATATAGTAGTATGCCATTGATATCAGGAAGGCCTGTATACCTTGTACATGTACTTGTAGCAATAAAGATATAAAAAAAAATAAGGCGATTGTCAGTACTTTTAAAACACTTCAGAACATACACTCTAATAGCAGGAAAAACATAATATCACTGTCCGTGTTAGGACAGTGATATCATGATAATGGCAAACTTAAAATGAGAAAGTCGGATACCTCGTTGATCGTAATGAGTGGCCACCTAACCATCATCAAACTGAACGTGAACGGGTTTCTACCAGATATTCACATATGGATCACAAAATTCTAGAACTGGTGTAGGTTCAGGGTCTCTGTAGTTAGTAAAACAAAAAAAAAAAAAAAAAAAGATTGTCAGACTTGAAAAGCTGGCAGGAGTTCAAGGCTGGGTATCATCATCCCAAGGTATCATTAATTATAATGTTGCTCGCACATGGGGAAATTTGAAAAAAAAAAATGTTTTTATAAACACATGTGGTAGTCTAAAGGCCTGTAACACCTAGTTATAACTAAGTCAGCAAATAAAGCAATCAGTAGGGGGGAGCAAGGGCAAGACAAACACAGCAAGGGTAGATTACTTTACCCATGTATTCCTTCACCAGTATTTACACTATGTATAATAGTAATGATTGGAGAAATCGGAGTAACACAGAATAATCAAGACCCATTCCAAGCATGAGTGGTCACAACCAGTGTATGCATTATTATTATTATAATCAAAAAGAAGCGCTAAGCCACAAGGACTATACAACACCAGTGTATGCAGAAGTCTGCCATTCAGCCAGGTGGGCTGAAATGGCGTCACCTTGGCTTAATTAACCGGATTCCACGTGATCGGCGGATTGAGTTGGACAATAAGTGCAGCACTGGGCCCCCAGAATGCTACACTGAATTGCCAGAACACTGGTCAAGAGGACATACCATATGGTTGGGTGACGAACGTCGAACACACTAACATAACGCATGACTCACTTGTATTTTTGAACTCACTGTCAGCCTCATTACATCGACAATAGAAATGTGCCAACAGTATTGTAGAGGACATAATGAAAGATTTTTTTTTTTATTTTGGAAAATGACAAAATGCTCGTAAATTCGTGCAGATACTATTTTATGCTAATATACCACGGAAGGAAAGCGCTGATAAACTGCCAGAAACAGGAGCACAAGAAAACATAAACTACAAGTTTGGTGAGCTATTATGACAGATTACAAATAATATTAAAAATAATTATTTAAAGGATGAATTCAGTGAATAGTACGTTAACATTGGTGTTACAACAGATTCACAACATTTCACAAAAAAATATACAAGATTTGATGCAAACTGATAATGATAATTTGTGATATGATACATGAATGTTGCAACTACCAATGATGGCTATGATATCACCAACTGAATGCCTACTACCTGGGCTGCACTGTTTTTATGGTGGTATGTTGACTCACGAGAAGAATGGCGCTGCCCAATATGCCTATATCTTGGGGTAAATATATATATATTATATATATATATATATATAAACAAAAATCTTCGTGTGTACAGTATAGCAATGTTTAACGAATAGTGAGACCATTATAAAATTTTCCAGAAAAAATCTGAGCGCCTCCAAATACCCAGAAGACATAAGTTAAAAATATATAATGATACAAAAATAGTAAAAGACGAACATATGAACAAAAGAAGCACAGAGCCAGACAAGCAGAAATTACACACAGAGACCCCCAAAACAAATAACAGATCATACTGACACTCAATATTCCAGCGGTAGAGATCTCGCTCAAGGTGTGGTATAGGGCATCCCGGAGTCAGAGAACTCCAGCATCTTAGTAAAGAGTCGGCGACCTGGCCGAAGGCGTCCTGGTGCAACGTCACTGAGCTGGGACGCAACAGACGTACATTTAGCACACGTCTGTTCTCTTTCCATTCCTCCCCGTCCCTGAAATAGTAAAGGTATTTGAATGAGAAATATATCCCTTGAGAATGTAACTGATGCATCACAACAGTGCTTGGGATTCATTTTTCTTTTATTGTGGTCATACTGAATCGTGCTGTTTATTTGCAAGTGGGGTAGGCTGTGAGAAGTGGGCAAGCAAGTGTTTATGCACCTGAAGATAAGAAGTTTGTAAAGAAGAGATTCTTAGAGATATCATTATTAATGTTTAAAATTTTTAGATGTGCTACATAAAGTAAGGTAAGATAATACTTGTTCGGATAACCATATGAAGTCAGTGCGTCATCGGGGACTGTCTTATTTCCACTGGGGGTCCTTGTACTGTCCCCCAGGATGCGACCCACAACAGTCGACTAACACCCAAGTACCTACTTGCTGCTAGGAGAACAAGGACAGCAGGTGAAAGGAAACATGTCGAACGTTTCCACCCATGCCGAGGATTGAACCACGGACACTCAATACGTGAGGTGAGTACGCTGCCAAGCAAGCCACGGGATGCATTAAGCTACTTCATTTTATGTAAATTTAAACATGGTAAAATAACACTAGAAACTGCATATTTTGGGACAAAGAGGAAGGGGATTTGTAGGAATGAAGAAAGAGCCAGAAGCGAATATAAAGGAAGTGATGCAATAAGTAGGTTGAAAGTGGATGGAATTAAGATAGAAATGTTGAAATCACGTGGGGATCAACAGAGAATATGGTGCATATATTCAGCTCGTGTGTGAAGGAATTAAAATATTGGCAGAGAGCAAAGCTCTGTCATACCTGTGACCGACCTGGAGAGTTCCACTCTTCCAGCACATCTAGCATCTGATCGCAGGCTGTTGCTACTTGCAACCTTCAGGTACATAAAAATCACAGCCTGAGTGATCAAACACCTAAAGAAATTTGTCTAGTTTTTCTGTAGATTTTTATCTCTATAATAACAAAATGCCTTATATCTGCTGATAGAATGGTGAAGGGTCAAGGACCATGGATGTTAACATTTCTCTGCCTAGGGCACCCTTACTTATCACAGTGTTTATGCTTTCCCCCATATCTCTCCCTCCAGTGGACTGTTAATTAAGTGTGCAAATTAGACATCTGGCCGTCAAGTATTTTCTGTGAGGTTATGAGACATGTCTCTCGTTTCCGTTCTTAACTTAAGAGTACTTCCCGAATGCTATGACGAAGTCCCAATAGTTTAAATGTTTTAACGAGTCTTATGCGAGTATTATTATATTTGTAAAAATTTCAAAACGTGTGAACTGTGCGAGCAGTATTTTCTGGCTCGGATATCTTCTCACTTTGAAGGTAATTTCCAAGACAATTGTAACGCAAGAGCACAAGTACCTTGAAGTGCATCATCATCGACATGGCTTTTCTTATTTTAAAAGTTCTCGCGATTCACCCTATTATTGTCCGTCATTGATTACCTCTTTTTTTTGAGTTCTAAAGGTTCGGTTAGGTTAGAAAATTGACATTAATATATCTGGGTAGTTTACCTGTTTCTTCCGCTCTATGACCGAATGTGAATGCGTTTTCTTACTAATGTACTCACTTTTCTCACTTTTTATATCATAGCAGATGGAGTTTCTTACCAGTGACCATCTGTGTAGTCCTTTACAAAAGGAAAAATGAGACAAGTGTACGAATTACAGGGGAACAAGTTCGTTAAGCATACCTAGTAAAGTCTATGACATTTTTTTTAAAGGATAATGGGAAAAACAGAAGCCGTAATTGCGGAACAGAGTAGATATACATAAAAGGAAACAGGTTATGTGGATCAAGTGTGTGCAGTGAAGCACGGAAATGAGAAATTCTTAGAGAAGGGAAAGGATTTGTTATATTTATCTAGACAAGGAATATGCTACGCCGGATAGGTGTGAAGTGTAGACAGTTTACAAAAAAAAAATGAAATTTATGGTAGAATGTTACAGAAAAGAAATAATATAAAGAGTCTGAGGGTCAGGTCAAGGTTTGTGGGGAAAGAATATAGAATATACATATGTGATGGATATGACAGCGGTTGTTGAATAAGTTTGTATACAGAGTTGCTAATTAAGTTAATGCCATAGCGTTAACGAGCAGTGTGTCTTCAATAGAAATTTAATCGGCTTAAAAGAGGAGTTAAACTTCTTCATTAATGAAAAAAAACTTTCCACATTTTGCCCAAAATAACATTTTACACAAAATCCTTGAAGAGACTGGCCCAGTCACAGTATGGAGACGCAAAATGCTTCGTTTAGTTAATGTACCCTAGCGGCCCAAGGGCATGATGCAGGAATGTTACCATGCACATTCACGTTACTACGCTGCATTTAAACAATTTATTGCATTCCAGTGTATGTACGAATATGACGAAGAGGCTAGGAGAATCTGTAAAACCGCTAGTTAGTAGTTAAGATGCGGGGCCAGGAGAAAAGATTTAATACCTGAATCTACACTGTGAAGGCTTACTCAGCTCTGTAAAAACTTCAGACAGTATTACCAAAGCTGGCTCCTCCTCAGGAAAATTAATGAATAGAAAACGAAATAATAATTAACAAAGATAAACACTTTATTATTTATTAAAGCAAACATAAAACAATAAAACATGACAGGTACATTCTATTTGAAAGAAAAATTAAAAAATGAAATGAATAAAATAACATTTGAACTCAACGACCAGTATGTTTTAAATAAGTGACCCACTGATCAGATCAGATCGACTGGTCCGAACCCTTGACTGGTCCGAACCCTTGACTGGTCCGAACCCTTGACTGGTCCGAATCCTTGACTGGTCCGAACCCTTGACTGGTTTCAAACGGTTTCGTTGGACAATAAAGCAGACTGTAAACGGATGGGGTTGTAGGCGCCCTTATAAACACAAACATTAAATATAAATCAGGAACGTGCACGGTAAGCTGTCCAATATACAAAAACAGTTAGAAACAGAAATACAAATAGCTAGAGCTTCATTTAAGGAGGTTATTAATAGAATATTCAAGAGGTTGCTAGTAGAATTGCAGTAAATCAACCATTCAAATCATTATGAAGCTGTGTGTAGTCTGCTGTATAGTCCTTGTGGCTTAGCGCTTCTTTTTGATTATAATAATAATAATGTGTGTAGTCTGTGGTCAGTCAAACAAACGGGCTTCCACATGGGTAAATTGTCATTTTTGTGGAAATTAGTGTCACGGCCCTTGTGCAGATATCCAAGAACTAGCTACAAGCAGTGTTAAAACAGGGAAGTGTTTTTGGGTATGCCCAAATGAGATAAATCTGTGGACTAAAATCACAAGGGTATTAAAAGAGGACAACATCAAAGCTGCTTTTATAGAAAACCTGGAAGCTTTCTACAACAGATGGGAACATAAAAAGTCTGGGCTGAATGGTACTGCCCTTGATACTGGCCATGTAGTCAGAAACTGTAAGGCTGGAGATGAAGTTCTGGTAGTCAGTAAATGTGGGGCTGATAGTGCTGTCCTGGGAGAAGTAATGGTGAAGCTGGAGGTGCTGTCCTGGGAGACAGTAATGGTGAAGCTGGAGGTGCTGTCCTGGGAGACAGTAATGGTGAAGCTGGAGATTTTGTCCAGGTAGTCGGGAATTATACGCAGGAAGGAATACATATAAATGACCTCATAGGGGACAGGAGCCATAGTAGGGAAACAAGTGTAGTCAAAGATAAGATAAAACCAATATTGCAAACTAGAAATACCGCAGGAAATAGCAAACAAGAGGACTCCACTAGCAATAGTGAGGATATATTACCAAAAACAACTGGTGGGAGCTCCATTGTTGGTGCTAGGGAGGATAGAAGTAAGACAGGGAAACATGCACCAACAGGGAATACAGTCACAGAAACCCAAGGCAAACGGAAACCAAGCCTGTGCACATACTATGCACTTGGTATCTGCTGGCATGGGAAATCTGGAAAAACAGATGGGACGTGCAACTATGACCACCCTAGAAAATGCCATGCCTATATGACAACAGGAAAATGCAAACTCCCTTCCTGTAAGCTTTTTCACCCTGAACTGTGTACCTCTTCAGTACAGGAAAGACTGTGCTATAACTTAAATTGCCAGGCATACCATCTAAAGGGGACAAAAAGATACAAAACATCCAGGCCATGGGAAAACCTGGCTAGCCACAGCCACTCAAGAGGGAGAGGTTTTTTAGTGCCAGGAAGGAAAAAAAACTGGCAGGAAATGGCAGAAATCGTACACCAAATCCAGTCATTCTTGGAGTGGAACCACAGTCGATGGCCTCCACTCCAAACCAACAGATACAGATACTAATGCCAGAAACCCCCCCCCCCAGTACCAACAATACCACCAGTCCAATAACATTCTTCTTTGCAAATATACAGGGTCTAAAGCCAGCAACAAACAACAAAATACCTTTCATCTGTGGACTGCTTGCAGAGGCAAAGGCAATGTTCGTGGCTTTCACTGAGACCCACATAAAGGATCACTTGGACAACGAAATATGAATCCCAGGTTACAACCTATACAGATGTGACAGAGTGAACAGGCAAAAGGGGGGGGGGGGTTGGCCTGTACATTGCAGAGTCACTTGTTTGCACAGAACTGCTTAATGCCTCAAATGATGTAGTGGAAGTTTTAGCAGTAAAGGTCGAGAACCAAAACCTAGTCATTGTGGTAGTCTACAAGCCTCCGGATGCAACATCCCAGCAATTCCAGGAACAGCTGTTAAAAATTGACCACTGTCTGGAAAATCTTCCAGCTCTGCACCCAACATCTTGCTCCTGGGGGATTTCAACTTAAGGCACCTAAAATGGAGGAATATAGCAAATAATATTGTTGCAGTAATAACACCAGGAGGCAGCTCTGATGAAAACTCACACTCACACGAGCTTTTAAATCTCTGCACAAAATTCAATTTAAACCAGCAAATAATAGAGCCTACTAGACTGGAGAATACACTAGACCTCATCTTCACTAACAATGATGATCTGATAAGAAATGTCACCATATCAAAAACAATATACTCAGATC